TTTTTGTTTTTTGTTTTGCTTTTTTTGGCGGTGGTTGAACTTATAAATTTGTTGTATTCTTTGTAAACTATAAACGTTCAAAGATAACAGCTGTAATAGTTTAGAAAGAACGACATGTATGAACACCTGAAGTAACCTGTGAACCAAACAGATGTTAAACTCAAATCAAATATCCTAATTAATCAAGTATTAGAAATAATCCTCTTCAGTCTCTTCGACCACTTCGGCCCAACATGGCTAAGCAGGTTGTTCTCGCTCTATGTGGCATCTACATCGCTTTATCTGTCTTTTCGTCATGTTATTGCAATCTTCAAGGACAACCAGAATTGACCAAATTCCAACGAGATCACAGTCTGAATAACTCTATTTCTGATTTGATTTTTCTTGTCGATGTATCTGGGAGTTTACGTTACTTTTCTTATATGAATGGGAGATATACTATCAAGAATGGTTTTGACGACGAGAAAGTCTTCGTGAAGTCTTTGTTAAGTACTATTCGCGTGAGTCTTCCGACTACACGTGTGTCCGTCATTCTTTTCAGCAGTAGTGCTTCCATCAACATCAATTATATCAGCTATCCCAACCCTAATAACCATAAGTGCAACTTTCAAAAGTCCTTCAACAATCTTCCATTTCTCAATGGAATGACTAACATGAACCAAGCCTTTGCACAGGCCAAGAGGATGATTTTTGGTGACCTGAGTGGTAACAAGAGGCCTACGAAGCAGGCCAAGACAGCCGTGTTCCTGTTGACTGATGGCAACTGGAATGTCGGAGGAAGCCCTTATGCTGCAGCAAAGAACCTACGTGATGATGGGATAGAGGTGTTTGCTATTGGTGTCACTAGAGGTGTGGATTTTGGAGTGCTCAGGCAGATTGCGTCTCCCGGACGGGCCTTTAGGTACAGCAACTTTAAACAGTTCAGAGAGCTCGCTTATTACTTGAGAGGAGGTAAGTAATATGGACAGACGGAGAAACAGACAGCAGACACAATGGACAGGAAAGTCAGACAGACGGACAGACAGGCAGTAAAGACAGACAGACAGGCAGTAAAGACAGACAGACAGGCAGATTGAACAGACAGACAGGCACACTGGACAGACGGACGAACAGACAGTCATATTGGATTGAGCAGACGGACAGACAGGCAGTAAAGACAGACAGACACTAACTGAGATCAAGAAAACAATGCTTTGTTTAACCGTTTTTAGATCCCTACGATTCAGACTGGCTAGCTGTTCAACCCAAGAGTATCTGTGGATCATGTGACTCGTCTGCAGGCTGCGCATGCGGACTGTTGACTGGCGAGTACAAATGTGCCTGTCAAAAGGGTTACTATGGTAGCGGGTACATTGGAGACTGCCACCGTAAGTAATCATTTATTTCTAGACGATGTAGTAGTGGTGGTATTCCTAGTATTGGGGTTGGCAGTAGTGGTGATGGTAGTACTAGTAGCGGTGGTGGTGGTGGTGGTAAAAGCGATGGTGGTGTTAGTAGTGGTAGTTGTAATGGTAGTAGTGGTGTTAATGGTGTTAGTAGTGGTGGTGATGCTAGTAGTATGGTGATATTAGAATTAGTATATTGGTTTATCACTAGTGACATTCGTGTTTTTTTCTTTATTTTCTTCCAGCTTGTCCCGTATCTACGTACAAATCCTTTGATGGTTTTGCCAAACTTTGCACTCCTTGTCCTGACAACTCTGCTCATTCTCGCACGGCTAGCTACAGTAAAAGTGATTGTAAATGCAAAACAGGATTTGAAAGAAAGGCTGGAGTGGAGAAGGACGGGCCATGTTCTGGTAAGTTGAATTTCATCCATCTATCCATCCATCCATCCCTCCCTCCCTCCCTCCCTCCATCCATCCCTCCCTCCCTCCCTCCATCCCATCCATCCATCCATCCATCCATCCATCCATCCATCCATCCATCCATCCATTCCACTCCATTCCATTCCATTCCATTCMWYCWWYYATTCATCCGTCCATCCCTCCCTCCTTCCATCCATCCATCCATCCATCCATCCATTCCACTCCATTCCATTCCATTCCATTCCATCTATTCAACCAGCCACTGTCCCGTTTCTTCCTTCTATCCTTTTCCTCTCACCCACTTTCCCATATCGTTCTATTCAACCATTCTCTCATTCCATTTCCTATTTCATTCATCCATTAATTTTTTTAATTTCATTTACAGTCAAACTAAGAAAACCCTGAACACCTAAAATATGTCTGGAATGTTAAACATCCTGTTCTGACCAATCACATGCGAGAATGAAGTCATTTCTGATTAACTGTCGCAGGTGATTGATCAGAACACGACGTTTAACGTTCCAGACATATTTTAGATGTTCACAGTTTTCTTAGTTTGACTGTAACGTTTTTGTCATTTGCTTTTCCTTTTACGTCTCTCACGATTTCCTTCTTCCATTCCCAGTCAAGCAATGTGACGCGTTTAAGGTCCCACCACACGGCCAAATACGAGGTGGAAAATGTAACGTTGATTACCTGTCTTCCTGTGAGCTGGTCTGCCAGGAAGGATTCGAGCTGGATAGGCCAGGAACAAGAACATGCATACTGAATGACCAGGGACATGCCGTATGGAGTGGAATAGAACCAAGATGCAGAGGTATGTACTGCTTTATCTTCTCTAAATTGAATTCTATGCTTATTATTATGATAGTAGAATTGCTGGGTATCAAAAAGCTGATAAATATCTTTGAATCTCATTATCTGATTCAAATGTTGGTCAAACACTGACCACCATGTGCTGTCAGCCAGAAAGACCCCACCCCTCCCCCGACTTGTACTGAAAATGTTTTTCGGTGCCAGAGTTTATCATCATTTTTCTATATCTGAAACTTGTCACTTTTAAAATATAAATAGTTAATTTGTCGTCGAAACTCCCCCACGCTACTCGTGAGAGTGGTTCATGTGCCCGCTGACTTGAATAAAGTTTGCTGAATCATCAATTTTTATTTCTAAAACATGTGKTTTTTTTTTTTTGGTAGCGATTGTTTGTCCACCGCTAAAAGTCYCCCACGCCGACCCTGAGGGGGGTACATGTGTCCCTCGTGACTGGACATACAAAAGCAAATGCACTTTTAAATGTGACGCTGGATACATCTTGAAGGGTAGCAGTGTAAGACAGTGTGAACTAGACAAAACATGGACTGGCGAGGACACCGTGTGTCAAGGTAATCACGTGACTTGGCAGGAAGTGACGTCATCAAGTGACGCGTTGATGACGTCATATACGCGACATATCACGCGTACAACAATGACTATAAAGTTGACGTTCGTGACGTCATTTACGTGACATATTACGCGTACAACAATGACTATAAAGGTGACGTTCGTGACGTCATTTACGCGACATATCACGCGTACAACAATGACTATAAAGGTGACGTTCGTGACGTCATTTACGTGACATATTACGCGTACAACAATGACTTTCAAGGTGGTGCTCATACCCAATTAGAATAAAGTAATAATAAGGAACAAGGCCATAATAATAATAAGAACATATCTTTCGTTCAAGTCAATCAACATGATGACTACTAAGTATATTTACGAAGGCTTGGGTACCATTACATTTTTACATGTCAATAATTGTCCAAGGTGTCGCTTCGGTGCAAACGCACGGCTAGGCTAACTATCAAGATGGCGCAGGGAACTTTTAAAGGGAATGTAGAGTCTTTTATTTGCATGGTTTGTTAAATGTTTTCCTATTTTGTTGGCAGAGATTCGTTGTCCAAAGCTGAATTCCATCCCTCTAACACAAGTCAGTCCAGCTGAGTGCATCCAGACAGACATATCAGCCTTCAAACAGTGCTCTTTTACCTGTCCTAAGGGGTATGCTATGAACGGGACAAGCGAACGAAGCCTAACACGGACTTGTGAAACTAGTGGCCTGTGGGACAAACCGTATCATACTTGTGTAGGTAGGTAAAAGAAACCGTTGTCGATATACTCTGAAAGAACCTCTGGGGTAACTCAGAGATCTAACCCTGAAACAACCTCTGGGCTGATCTAAGTCAGTGCATGGCTAACTCACAGATCGAACCCTGAAACAACCTCTGGGCTGATCAAAGTCAGGGCATGGATAACTCACAGATCGAACTCTGAAACAACCTCTGAGCTGATGAAGTCAGGGCACGGCTAACTCATAGATTCAACACTGAAACAACCTCTGGGCTGATCAATTTCGCTTTTTAGCAGATCAAATTGAATGACTATTTTTTCTTGATTTCAGATGTGTATCAGCCTTCTATTACCTGCCCTCGTAACATCTTAGCCACTACTCTCCCTCGCCAGCCATATGTCATCGTGGGCTGGGAGGAGCCCATAGCTGACGATAACTCCATAGGGGTAGATCCTCTGGCTGAATTAACGGTTACCTCGAATTTCAAATCGACTGATAAATTTGAAATTGGCAAGCATAAGGTTATCTATGTTGTTCGGGACGGCGCGAATCTTTCAAAGCAATGCTTCTTTTACGTCGAAGTACAAGGTGAGTACGATGACGCCATAAGTATTTGTTTGAGCATGCGTACTCACGTTCACGCTAGGAACGAGGGAATGGAATCTAGCGTCCGAGAGTGAAGTCTAGCGCATGCGCAATTTGAATCCTGACTTGAAGTTGAATATACTGCACATGCGCTATTTAAGTTTCTAGCACATACTCGGCCCAAGTTGGTACTTAAGATATTTGCGCTGAAGTCGAGATTGCGCATGCGCTCGTCAAATTCTGCGCATGCGTACTTTAATGTTACAGCTTATCAATTTTAATTTTGCCACATATTTAATGATCCTAGATAAGGAAGCACCGGAAGTGACGTCATGCCCCGAAGACCAAACCCATGAATTAGTGGGAGCGAGTAGTATGAGAGTGAGGTGGAATACACCTTCCTTTAAAGACAACTCTGGAATACCGCCTGCCGTAAAGAGTTCTATTGGGATGGGCTCTATCTTGGATGTTGGAGAACATATAGTGACTTATTATGCCACCGACAAGGCTGGGAATACCAACTCRTCGTGTCAATTTAAGATCCATATCAAAGGTATGCATGGTATTCGAGGAATGCACCTCTGGAAACATATTCCCATTAAGCTTTTAGGTTGTGAAGTATTTCCGGTTCCAGCTGCTCACAAATAATACTCGGAAATAAAGCGAAAAGATATCCTCAATGTTATCCACGTAAAACAATTAGAACTTTCAACGACAAATCTTGTCATGATGAAAATGTAAGAAAAATCTTCATAGAACTCCTTTTAAACCCGAAAGATGTTTCCCCAAACTATGAAAGCCACACTGAAAACTTCAATCTACATCTTGTAAGGCGCGATTACGTGRAGCAATTTTCTCTGCAACTTTTGTCTTGCAACAGCGTTGCGACACAAGTTGCAAGAGTGTTTACACGGTGCAACGGGACGCAAACGTTGCGAAAAGTAGAAACGAATTCTACTTTATACGACGATTGCTGCAATTTGCCTTGCAACACTTTTTCAAATTGTGCTGTAGGTTACACGTTGCAATGCTCCATGCAACTTGTGTCGCAACGCCGTTGCGAGACAAGTTGCAGGGAAAATTGCTTCTTGTAATCGCGCCATTACTTATTTCAGCCAAGACATGCCCAGTTACCAAGCCCCCCAGGAATGGCGCGCTGGCCTGTAACGCCTATGGCAATGCTAACAGCTTGTGTCAAGTCAGCTGTAATAACAACTATGACTTTGCTTATCCACCGGGAAGTACATATCTTTGTTCTAATGGCAACTGGCAAGCATTTCCTTTTGGTACACCATTCCCTTGGCCTGACTGTTCAGGTAAGATGAACGAGAGATAAAGAAAGAAAACAAGAAAAGAGGAAGGGAAGGAGGAAGGGACAAATGAAGAAGGGATGAAAAGGAGAGGTGTTTGAATGGATGACGGAATAAATGAAGAAATTAAAGAAGGGATTGAAGGAGGAAGGGAAGAAGAAAGGGAGGATGGTATAATAATTGAAGGAAGATTGGGAAAGAGGCTATATTGGGCGAGAGAGAGATAGAGGAGAGGGAGGTAGGGGGAGAGGGAGAGAGAAAGGAAGGCTTTCTTGGAGAGTGAAAAAGAAGGAATTGGAAGAAAGAAACGAAATTGGAAGCCTATTGTTGGGTCTTCCGAATCGAGTTTATATTCAAGGGGTTTATATTCAACAGTTACTTATTAATAGTTAATTAACTCATTACATCCTTACACTTTGTTCACAGTCCGATACGATCCAAGTCAAGCTAAAGTTCAATTTCTGCCACAGTTTTACTACTATGAAGGAAACTGTAACGACGCAGAAGCCCAAGCGCAAATCAAGAGCAACTTTATGAATATTCTACGAACGGGAATGGTGGCAAATTTCGGGCATGCTTGCGCAGACCAAGCGATTTGCAAAGCTGATAACATCAATGTATTCTGTGGTGAAACTGACAAGAGTAAGAGGAGAAGGAGAGCCGTTGTTAAAGAAGTTTATATCCAGGTAAACCATGAATTGGTATTTATTTATCATTAATATTAATATCATTATTAAGATTGATATTAGTTATTAATAATAATAATTATTATTATCATCATCAAATCATTGTATGTATCACCACTGTTATTATTATTATTATTATTATTATTATTATTATTATTATCATTATTACTATTATTATTATTATTATTGTATCATTATTATTGTCTTGCCTTTCCAGGGTAGCACTTGTGGCTAACAAACCTACATGACTAGATCGTTTCATAATCGAGCGGCGAGAAATGCCTGGCGCATTGAAAGCCCACAACTAGTGCTTCCCATCACAAATGTTCAAATATTCCTCCCATTCATTTTTTTCAGGTCAATTTTGTCGCCAGAGAAAAGCAATCAGCTCCAAAGACACTAGCACAACTCAAATCAACCATGGAGACGCGAGCACGACCAGTTTTGGACACCGAAGCAAAGAAAACTAATTGGAAGCCACTAAGATCAAGCACTGGGCTGGAATTCCGAAGTTACAGCTTATCACACGCAGACGCTTATTGCTCTGATAAAGGCGCTGTTCTAGGGAAATGTGATTCATATGAAACAGGGTGTGACGGGAAGAATAAGCTACAACCCAGATGCTCTTGTAACTCCAAAGTGGGCAAAATTGAAAAATGCAGTGAGTATCGGGTGGGGAAATGGAGAATTGACGGCTGAGAGGGCGATAGCTGAACCGTACCGACCGTCTGGTTGGGTGATTGACCGACCGACCAACTGACCGACCGACCAACTGACAGTGATTTACTGATTGAGTGATAGACCGACTTCGATCCAACACCCAGCTGATTAAATGACCAAAGACTAAGAAATTAATTGAGTGACCGACCGACCGAGACTGACGAACCGACCGTTTAAATGACCAAAGACTAATAAGAAATTGATGGACAGACCACCGACCGACCGTCCGATTGACTGGCTGGGGGCTGCTTTACTGTCAAAAGGCTAAGAAAGTGCTGATTAATCTATCGGAAGTTATTAAATACCCAAAACTTTTATTCTATTTTTTTATTTTTTTGCTTAGTTCGATGCCCCGCAGGAACCTTCTACGATCTACTCCACGAGAAATGTATCAACTGTAAACCCGGTACGTTCCAAAACGAAGAGGGCAGATTCCACTGTAACGACTGCCCCGAAGGAACCTGGACTGTCGGACAAGAAGCAAAGAATTTCACATCTTGTAGAGGTCGGTTACTTTAGTTTTACGTTAAGAGTACTTGTGTACCTGTCTCTTTTAACCCATTCACGTTTATTAAGTCATAATAATAATTCGTTGAATTAAGAATTTGAAGTAAGAATTTTTATTCAAAAATATTTTTCACAATTTCTAGAATGGTTTGGTACGTAGGTTTGACCATTATTTATGTATTTGTTTCGTCCACGTTATGTATTTTATAATCAAGCTTTCGCGCTACGAATTCATCGCTAAGAATATGTTGTTACAAACGCTTCAAATATCAAACAATTGTTTATAAAATAAATAACGTGGAAGAAACAAATATACAAATATAATCACTGAGCCTGAGGGGAATAATTGTTTTAGCATAATTTTAGACTTGAATATCAGAGAAAAGTCGAAATTCAGGGTAAAAAATACCTTTTAGTATTGCTTCCGATTTGAAAAACTTTGGAAAACCTCATAATCACCGCTCCAACGGTGACTATTGTCTCAGAATCACCGGTCGCTCGACCAATCACAGCTTGAGAAACTCTATATTCAAGTCTAAAACTATACTAGATATATACATTGGCAAGTTTATGAATAATTATCAAATGGAGAGAGAGCCCGAGGACCCGAAAAAAACCTTGAATCAAGGTAGAGACCTAACAAACTCTACTTCACTTGTAATGACGAGTCCAGGAATCAAACCTGAGACCCCAAAGGCGAGAGGCGAATGCTTTATTGCTACACTACCCTTGATTCCCTAGTGGTCATCATATCCTCTTGTAGACATTGCCAAAATAAAACTTCTCTGTCAATCTCCAATAACGTATATATGACGTCATGATATACCATAATATGTTCTAGAGAAGTGCAAGCCAGGTTATTTTTCTTACAATGGACTCGCCAAGTGCTTCCTGTGTCCTCGTGGTACGTATTCTTCTGGCTTCATGAACAAACAGTGCACAACATGCCCGCAAGGAACAACCACAGTGTTGGCCGCCGCCGCCAGCCGGAAGGACTGCGGTAGTAAGTATATCTGTCCCTATTAATTATTATTATTTCTAAAAGTTTTAATGGATGGGAACGCACTTTCATATCTAAAGCTTCTCCGCGTTCCTACTACCAGATGAGTGGTGAATTTTGTTTCGGCCAATGACAGCGCGTTTAGCTGTCATTCCCGTATTTTTCTGTTTTCTTTTGGCTAAGATAATATATATGCATATGACTACATAAAGCAGAAATATGGAAAGAAAGAATTTTAAAAATTTCACTTTACTGCCATGTTTGCTTTACTCTTTCAAGCTTAGCCTGCAAAGCAGGCGTTCTTGTGGGTTTGGGGAAAAACTGKTTTKTTTTTTTTTGCTAGGTCCCATTTTTCTCGCKGGCCATTTGGCCGAAACAGGAACCCCAAAACCCCGATTCTTCTTCAAACCCATCAAAAATACGCGCCGCGTTCACCACTCAGCTGGACTGTTCAGCAGTAAAAAATCTCACTTTAATAGTCTGACTGCGGGATCTGATTGGATAATACGAGACAAATAATAAGTTACAAATATTTTTTAAATTGTTAGACACTGAGAAAAAATGCTAATTTATATATCTTTGTTCTAGTGAAATGCGCCCCCGGTACCTTTTCAGCCAGCGGTGTTGAGCCATGCCAGCCATGCGCAAAGGGTAGTTACCAGGATGCTATTGGCTCATTGTCATGTAAAGAGTGTGAGGGAACTCACTCGACGTACGGTCCTGGTGCGGATTCAAAGGCAATGTGTATAGGTTAGTAGCAAARCATATGTATTACTCCTTTTGTTCGACTTTCCAGTATATTTTCAATAGCCATATCCAAAATGGCGGACATCAGTTACGTAACTTAACTTGGTACCTCATTTTAAAAGGTCAAACCTTTCATCTACATTACTTGCCAACATTTACAGCTTTTAAGTAGTGATGTATTTCCTGGTCCAACTGCTTACAAAAACCGCGAAAAATGTTCTCAATGATATAACGTTCACCTAAAGCAATTAGAAAATTGGACATCGAATCCTGTCGTGAAGAAAACGTACAGAACTTTATAGGACTGCTTTTCGTTTTGGACCCGAAACTCATTTTTACATGCGATTGACCTCACATTTAAAATCTGTACTGTGGTCTCCCGGATGTGTTACCCAGACAACCATACATCACTTTATCTTGAATTCTATCCACCAGATATTGATGAGTGTGCGTCCAATCCATGTAATAATGGCGGAAGATGTGTGGACGAGAAAGATGGCTTCAGATGTGAATGTGCTGCTGGGTTCACGGGAAAACAGTGTAAAGTAGAGAAAGACGAGTGTCTGTCTGACCCGTGCTACCAAGGGTCTACCTGTGTAGACAAGGTAAGTAAGCAGGGGGAGGGGGGAAGAATGGTCATGACGAGTGTGACAAGGTGTTCACATGGTAAGTGAGGTGTAGAGGTGGCGGAGAAGAATGGTCATGACGGTTTTAATTCCTCAAAGAGATGACCCATGAAGGATAAACAACTGTGACAAAATTTAGACAAGAACAAACAATTTTATTTGTTAGTGCGTGGGGAGTATAAAAATCACCAGAGGGTGTGTATAGATGTAAATAAAACCATTTTATTCTTTATTTTTCTGTTGTTGTTTTTTTTTTTTTGTTTCGTAGGTCGATGGATACGAGTGCGTCTGTTCCCATGGTTACACCGGAAAGAACTGTGACGTARCTGTTGGTCTTTGCAGCACGAATCCATGCCGGAACGGTGGCACGTGCGTGGCACAGCCTCCCAAGGAGGTCTGCAAATGCTCTAATGGCTATGGCGGGGAATTCTGCGAAATGAAAATTGACTTGTGTGCCTCGTCCCGATGCCTCAACAAAGGACTATGTAGAAACGTAGGAGACTCGTTTCAGTGCACGTGTAGGCCTGGTTATACAGGTGATCAGTGTGAACGAAAGGTCGACGAATGCGCGAGCAATCCGTGTCAGAATGGCGGGAGTTGTCTTGATGATGTTGATGGATATCGCTGTGCGTGTCGAGATGGATTCACTGGCTCAAGGTGTGAGAAAAACACTGTCAACTGTTATCCCAACCCATGTCAAAACAATGGCGCATGCGTAGAGAAGATCAATGGCTACGAATGCCTCTGTAGACCTAACTTTGCTGGGAAAACATGTCAAACAAGTAAGCGATATTTAAATTTTGAATTAAAGTATGAGCATTTATTTATGAAGAAAGACTCGTATTGCTTGGTTAGCACGGACATTTTTTGTACATTTTTGGCACTTTTGAAACTTCGCAATTCTGATTCTTCGCATTAAAACGGGTTCAAATTTACCAGACTTACTTATATTGAGATGCTCTCAAATTCAAAACTTGCCCCAGTCCCTTGCTCGTTTTTGAAATGGCCAAAAGTCACCATCTTGTTTTTTGTTGTTGTTTTCCAGAAGTTTCCACGGACTATGACGTCACGTTCCCGCTTCGTGTAGCTACGTCATCATCATCAGTAACCAATATCCCGGACCTACGAGCTTTTACCATCGCGTTCTGGCTACGAACCACAGATTTATCAAACCCAGGCACGCCACTCTCATACGCGACCACCGACCAAGGGAAGGTTGTGGATAACGCTTTAGTGTTACAGGACTACGGAGCGTTTGTTCTTCATGTCAACAACGAGAAGCAGTTCATTGGTGTGTCGGCCAATGATGGGAGCTGGCATCACGTGGCTGTCACGTGGCGAAGTTCTGATGGACTGTGGGTTTTCTACTTGGATGGTAGTGAAGTGAAAAGGTGATGATAATCGCTCTCCATATTTTGTCTTTTGATTGTTTGTTTTTGTTTCCTTGCCTACCTTGTTCTCATTGGTTTCTTTTGTCTTATTCTATCATATAAACGCTCCTTTCTACCACTTCTTTCTCTTTTACTCCGACGAAGGACTAGCGTCCGAAACGTCAGTACGTTTTTTCACGGTGTATAATTTACCTTTTTATCATTACTGTTTCATTAGAAACACCGACGCAGCTCACACAAGTTTTTACCTAGTTATCTCTCCATATTCTCATATTTTTATAGCACGTGTGGGATGATCGTCGCGACAAAGCGTAGTAGGTTTGTGTGCACGTCAACCAAAATGTGTCCATGACACTGTAGGAAGGCACAAAGTTTTCAAGGACGCACGCGGTTATAGAATGTCATGTAAACGCCTTGATTGACGCGTCCATTTAAGCATGCTTTGACGCAAAAAAAATTGAGGACACTAATAATCTTTTTGAAATTTTTTCTTTTAGTTTTCCAAAGTTCTCTAAATTAGAAAGTCTTTAATGAATTATTTTATTTTAATAAAACATTTTTTTCAGATCCATTGGTTTCCAAGCTAACGCTGTCATCAAGGGCGGAGGTGTCATGGTGCTAGGCCAAGAACAAGATAACCTGGGCGATGGCTTCACTCCAGAGGAAGCGTTCTTCGGTGACATTAGCCAAATRAATGTATGGGATCGGGCGTTGTCAGCAAATGACGTGGCCAATCTTGTATACAACTGCCAGGCCTCTGAAGGCAACGTGAAGGCCTGGGGCGACTTTTTGTCTGGACTTCAGGGGGTCTACGTAAAAACGAGCAGATCACATGCCTGTGATTGTAAGTATGGAGCATCTTTATCTTCGACGTAATGTATTCCCATTACAGACCTGGTCCATGTCATTCTCTAGAGTATTATTTCTTTGTTTAACGGTTGCGCATGAGAAGACACATGAAAACCAAGAATCTTATTATCTTAATAACACGTGGTCTGAAAACATTATACCCCAAGATAAAAAGTCTATTTCAGATTGTTGTGTTGGAAATGAAACAAAATCCAAATTTTTTTCCAATTTTAGTTAACAGCAAACTCCGTAGTTACCAGTTCACTCACGACTCACGGTATCCAGCTCAAGACCACAAAACTCTCCTCAGTAAGACCGCTGAACAGTGTGCGCAGGCCTGTGAATCCGAGACAGGCTTCCCATGCCGATCGTTTGACTATGACCGAGCTAATAAAAGATGCTATCTCAGTAGAGCTGTAGCCGAAGGGAGCAGTGCCTTAGTGATGGCTAAGGGCTTTGATTTCTATCAAACAGGTAAGATAAAATGAACCAATAGGAACCCCAAAAAAAGACGTCATTTCCGGTCCCGTGGGAATTTTTAATAGCAAGTTCTCAGTAAGCGTATAGGCAGTGTTTTCCAGTCATTTTTGGCTGCTACGGTAATGAGACTCATTTAATTAATTGATGCCAAGCAATCGTAGGCTTTCGATCATTCAAAAGAGTGAATAATTCATTGGCAATGACTTGGATAAATTTAGCCAAGATGGCGGCTATGACGTCATGTGCAAACGAAGAATAGTATATTTTGTAACATACATGTGTTAGGTAAGAGGAGGGTGATTCATAACCCTTTAATTCAATCCCCCCCCAGATTACGGGGGTTTTAGGTGAACGTTAGTTATATACAGACCACCTTTTTCAGTTGTCATATTTTGACTCTTCAACAGATTGCCTCGGCTCCCTTGGAATTGAGGCTAAAGCTATCCCAGACTCTTCTTTGACTGCCTCTTCCTCTCTTGACTCCACTTCCGGTGCAAAAGAAGGTCGTCTACAGAATCCACGGGTATCTGGTATAACCGGGATGTCCAATAGTAGAGGGGGATGGAGCCCAAGTGCTAACAACAATCAACAGTATTTACAGGTATTTATGCTCTTTTCACTAATACAGTACAGTCCTTGACCAATCAGAGCGCGTTGACTATTTAAGCTGACTGTACACATGTTGATAGTGTCAGCACCATGGTCTGTTCACTAATACACCACAGTTCTCGACCAATCAGAGCGCGTGGACTATATAAGCCGACTGCTCATATATGGATGGTGTCAGCACCATGGTCTATTTACCAATACAGCACAGTTCTCGACCAATATCACAGCGCACCAGCTACCTAAGCTATATAATAAAACTATATAAACCATATTGATATCTGTGTATATACTAGATTGATCTTGGGCGACCGTACAAGATATCAGGCGTGGCTACCCAAGGAGCAGACGGTTCATCTGAATGGGTGACGTCATACAAGCTCGAGTACAGCAGTGATGGATCTCAGTGGCACTATTATACCAGTGTAAGATCTCTCATCATTTATTTCATCCCACTGCTTTCCCTTTTATTCATTTTTTCATTTTTACTTTCGTTTTTATATTTATATTTTTCTATTTTTTTTGGTGTTAATTCTCATTTATTTTGTCATATTTTGTCAATTATTTTTCACTTTCATTTGAATATTCATTTCATTCACTTTTCATTTACTTAATTGATTTCATTTTTATCAACTTTACTCGTTATCCTAACTTTCCCATTTTTCATTGATTCATTTTTCCTATTTTCCCACTTATCTACTCATCCTTTTCCCTTCCCAGACACTAACCGGCAATAGTGACGACAGCACGGTTGTTCTCCATCAACTTCACATTTTCCCAGCTCGTTACATTCGCTTCAGACCACAGGCATGGCACGGTCGTATCGCACWTCGTGTAGACGTCCATGGATGTGAAATAGGTAAATATTCAATAATAATTTAAACTATAATATTTAATGAAGTAAATCGACCAGTTAATTACGTCAGACCTACTTGTTTTCGTGATGACGTCAGACGTGCTTGTTTGACGATGACATCAGACGTACTTGTTTCGAGATGACGTCAGACATATTTGTCTTGTGATGACCTGAGTTGTACCAATTTTCATAATGACTTCAAACGTACCTGTACGTACCTGTTTCGAGATGACGTCAGATATTCTTGTCTTGTGATGACGTAAGTTATACATATTTTCATAACAACGTCAGATGTATCTTTTTTCGTAATGACGTCAATATTCTTGTTTTTATTGACGTCAGATGTAGACAACATAACCTTAATAATGTGAAAAGCTAAACATGAAACAAAACAGTTTGTCTAACGTTATGTGTGATTTGTCTTTGACAGGTTCCTCTCCATCATTCATGAAAGGTAACAGAAGTCTAGTTACATTCTCATATAATCCCATCCTTTCATTCTTTCATGCATCCTTTTAAGTTATTCATTCCTTGGTCTGTTTTCGAAATCAAAATTATTTATCATTTCTCTCACTATTGCATTTCCCAATTTTTTTCACTACCTTTGTCTTATTCGTTTTCATTCTTTTCTTTCTACTTCCCTCACATTTAGTTTATCTATTGACATTTACTTTCCCACTAGACATTTTTTCATTTATTCATCTGTTATCATTTTCATTTAACTCAGAATATATTCGTATCATTTTTTAATCACGTGTGCAGAAGAACAATCAGTCACAAACATCACCGAGTCTGCGCCGGCCAACTGCGTTAGGTTAATAAGTTGATTCCCCTTCACCCTAGCAACAACCGCTTAACACCAARTAATGTAGGCAACGCTTTGAGGGCCATAAGAAATAGTCCTCTTAACCTTGGGTGTAATATTTTCACATTTCAGACCACGTGTCATTCCCTACAGTATCATTTCTTTGTTTAACGGTTGCACATGAGAAGACACATGAATATGGATACAACTTAAACAAATAGTCTTATTCTCAAGAGAATGACACGTGGTCTGAAATGAAAAAAAGCATTACACCCAAGCTATATTTATATCTGGGCCAGTAAATGCTTAGCTTGATTCACTCGCGTCTTTTATGCTAGCACCAGCGCCATTGGATATCAGTGTTCGTAGCGAGGGTTGTGAGGATTTGAATAAACTGAATGGAGGGTGTGGTCATGCGTATATCAAGGTTAATGGCAAAGAACATTCTCTCAAGAAACGAGGATTCAACATTGTAGTACTGAATGGAGAAACTGGTAGGTTGAAACCGTATTTCATTTTTTTCTTTCTCTTTCTATCCATCCCTCCCTCCATTCCTTCTTCCTTCTCTCCCCTCCATCTTTTGGTCCAGTTATTTCCTTCTTCCTCTTATCCATCCATCCATCGAACTTTATCCATACGGCGTCCGTTTGACCATGCATCCCTCCATCCAACCATTCCCTTCTTCCCTCTCTTCTCCTCTTCCTCCGTCTATTTATCCATCCACCATTTTCCATATATACTACTATCCATCCATAACTTTCTTTCTCTCTTTCTTATTTTCATTCGGTCATTTTTGTTCATTTATCCATTCATTCATTTCTTAGGTCAGTTGTTGAGCTCTCGTTCCTTTGATACCCATGGTAGCAACTCCCAAACCAATAATGCTATTAATTTCCTTAGTAGCTTCGCCGGAAAGTAAGTTTTGGCTTATTAGGCAGATTAAGATTCTCGTTTTTCCTTCCCGCAAACGGCAAACGTGACCATGTTTTCATCGTTTCCCTACATTTCACTTTACCTTTTGCAAACCTTCTCGACAAAGACAAGTATTCTTTTGTTTATCTGCTACTTGGAGATTTTTGCGATTCCTTTTCACTATTTTTAAAGAATTTTTGATGTTCAACTGACGTTTCACGTTTGCCGTAAACGAGAAACTTAAGCTCTCTATTCTCGTTACCAATACTTTCCAATTTAAGTCGAGAGAGACTGAACACAAATTTTTTTTCCTATTTTCCTGTGATTCTTTTGTTACAGTGAAATAGTCTTGGTGGCGATCCAAGACGAGGGTTGGACCCAAGGAAAGGCGCTCACTCCTCAGCTGATAAGACTGGGCGCTAGTAGTCCTATCCTTACGGAGTACAGAGGATCCCTAGCGCTGATTGGCTACGCAGGAGCCACTAAGCCAGCTTGGATTGCGCATGTGCAGAAAGGTCGAAAGAAAGGACCGAGTATCGCGACTGCTAAGATTCCTTTGAAGCCTGTCCTCGGTAAAATAAATATCTTTCATTTGTGTAGCTTTGATAAGCGCGCGCAGACTCGGTGACTTGATTGACTGGTTGTTCTTTGCATTTTTATTCAGTTGTATGGATCATTCTGTCCAGAATTCATTAGATCATGTATTTTTCTTGACACACACAATTTGTTCATTTTTGGGTTTCCTGTGTAATTGTGGTCTGAAAACTAAAGAGGATTGTAGGGGGTGAACAGAGCGTTTTCACTCACGTGAGAAGGCAGCCATAAACGATAGAAACTTTCTGCACAGTATCTGCATAAAAATAGAGTTCAATTCCCGGAGGATAGAAAATGTATTGTTTCGGTAACCCATAATGGCCGCTGTGACGTCACGTGAAAACACTCTATACAATCGGAAGGGAGAAAAAGAAAGAAAGTGAATAAAAGGGATGGGAGATTAATCACTACCTGTGAGTCATGTAAAACAACAAGTCCCATTCACTCTAGGTTCAGCATCTTCAGAATGTTCTGCAAACCCTTGTGTCAACAGAGGCACTTGTGTCCAGCTCTTCTACGGTTACCGCTGTCTCTGTGTTGACGGTTACCAAGGAAACAACTGTCAAATAGGTTCGTATAAATCGATTGTATAGAAAATGAAGTTATTTTCCTGTATGCAAATTCAGTTATGCTAATGTTAGCACTCCAGTACTACAGTTTCAAGTTCTTGGCTGCTCAGGGTTAGCCTCGATTTTGTGCAGAATAATTATGCGTCCCAGTGAAGGTCTGTGGAATTTTCGGGTGTTTATATTGTTGAAGTATTGCATTCTTTACATTAGCTTGGGTATTTCTGAATATTTGGACAATGATTCGAGGCTAACCCTGAGTAAATGAGTCTGTAATCAAGAAACAATAATCTTCTACTTGCTTTTCTTCAGAGGCGCCCTGTAGTGACCCAGGAACCCCGCCCAACGGACAACGAACCCCTATTACGTCATTCAATCACGGTAGCGTAGTCAACGTGTACTGTAACCAAGGTTACCAACTAAGAGGCTCCAAGACCAGGACGTGTACCAGAGGACAGTGGATTGGAACTGCACCAACATGTATAGGTCAGCCGGGTATTGCTATTCTTGTCATGCCTCAAAAAATTACTCACTAAAAGAAGRAGTACGCGTTTTTATCATCTATAAATTATATTGAAGAATTGAGGAAATTCTGTGAGTTTGTTGGAATTCTGTTTCCGCAGATATCGATGAATGCGACAACGGTGTTTGTGGTCAGCTGTGTACTAATACTGATGGAAGTTACAAGTGCGCATGTCAGATCGGATACCAACTCAACAGTGATGGCAAAAAATGTGATGGTATGAAAACACGAGGGTTAGGAGTAGATGTGTGGTGATATACACCTTCACATTCACACGATTAGGAGTAGATATATTGTGATATACACCTTCACATTCACACGATTAGGAGTCGATATGTTGTGATATACACCTTCACATTCACACGATTAGGAGTAGATAGGTTGTGATGTACACCTTCACATTCACACGATTAGGAGTAGATATGTTGTGATATACACCTTCACTTCACATGATTAGGAGTAGATATGTTGTGATATACACCTTCACATTCACAAGATTAGGAGTAAATATACCTTTCTATTCAATATTCTTTTTATCTCTTCATCAGACATAGACGAGTGTGCGCTAGGAGTATGCAGCCACAAGTGCTACAATAAACCTGGCAGTGTCGTGTGCAGCTGTCCCGCAGGAATGACGCTAACCAGTGGTGAACGCACATGCAAAGGTACATATAGTCTTATATCTTTAAATCACATATTCATATACTGCCTTGTCTTCTTACTTTAACGTGTGTGACATCAGTGTCCCCGGCTTACTTGCTATACGTTACCTTAGTTCTCTGCATGTTTTCCAATTTCTTTTTAAGGATCCACTTTTCTTTCTATGATGCAGTATTTCTCATTTAGCTGTTGCGGAAATCCTGCCTCAAAACACATTTTAATTTTTGGAAAATTCGCAGGAATTTCACATAAAATTTCTGTTTCCTTTCATATTTTATCATTATTGGTTCTACGTCTCTCCCCCTGTACAAATTTAAAACAATTCTTGTCTGCTCGTTCTTCAGACGCGGATGAATGTAGTGTCGGTAATCACGGCTGTGAACATGAATGCGTTAACAAGTTCCTTAATGGAGCCTGTTACTGTAGAGGAGGATATACCTTGGAATCTGACAAGAAGAAATGCGCAGGTAAGGTAGTATGTAACGAAACCTATTCTCTCTTCTCTTCCATTACTATTGAGTCTATGTGTGCATGAGGGTGCATGGTGAGATTGATCATGAACTGTGGCGACACGGTCACGGTAAACGTTGACATTCGTCGAACCAATCACAGCGCGTAAAATTACTTTTCATCCAATAGAAATGCTCGTGCATATTAGGGATATGGTGTTGTTAATTATCAACCTAAAGGTGACGGGACAGAGTGACAACGCCCAACCACCCAAGCACAGCGTGCAAGTTTACCGTTCATCCAATCAAAATACTCGCGCACGGCACGGTCAAGAAGGCCTTTCCATTCAGTTCCCCAGTCATGAAATTCGTTCTTATGAGTATTGTTCTGTCGTGGCTTCCATGTGCCTTCTGAGTCGATTACATGTAACTTTCGAGTGGCTTCCGAGTGGCTTTCGAGTGGCTTTCGAGTGGCTTTCGAGTGGCTTTCGAGTGGCTTCCGAGTGGCTTCCAAGTGATTTCTTTTTTGAACCAACGTTACCAGAGTCTGTTTTTTCGGTATTTATTTTTGTCCTCAATTTTTTTAGAATTACGTTGTCCTTCAACGACGGCACCTGTTAATGGTCAGCAGCGTATCCAAGGTGACGGTATCCTTGGTAACATGATRTCTATTACTTGTAATGCGGGCTACAAACTTGTTGGGGTCGTTACAAGGACGTGCCGGGCTAATGGAAAGTGGTCTGGGGCAGAGCCTCGTTGTGAAGGTGAGTTACTAGTARTAATCCTTAATAATCCTTAATAATTTGTTTATAAATGGAAGCCATGTTTATATCTATTTATTTCTAGCTGTTCGTTGTGCTGCTGTTGGAACGATCAAGAATGGAGTGGTTCATCTAACCGCTGGCCAGTCCTACAATAGCATTGCCTCGTTTTCCTGTAASGCTGGCTATGATCTGGTTGGCATGGCAACAAGGAAATGTCAACARGATGGCCGGTGGGGTGGAGAACAGCCGAGATGTGTTCGTGAGTATCCAGYATTAAGAAGGCGTTAGGTTACGCGACATCACGTGCGTCCACAGAGTGATGCGCAATGCACTGTAGGTTTTTCTATTCCTCACAAAAGCAAACTTTTTACCCTAACATATCCCGTGATGCTTAGCAGCAGCTGACTTGTCTTATGATATTTTAAACCACAATAGTGATTATACTATATTACTATATACTGTATTCCACTACTCTAGGCAGGATGGACRTTGATCACKGAGCATGGCGCCATGGTTACTCCTGTTAAAATTGAAAAAATAARCTTTGTTTAAACCTGCGTAAACTCGTCCTGAAACGCTTGAATGCGAGKCTAAATCTATWGTTCTAGTCATCATGGCTGCTGTGTCGTTAAATATCTTACCAACCTTGTGTTTCCAGGTGCTGACTGTCCGAAGCTTTCAGCTCCCGCGCATGGCGCGATTGCAGGAATCCGCCGTGAGATCRGCAGTACCGTACGCGTGTCATGTGACAAGGGATATCGCGTTACACCTGATAATGCAGCCTTCAGGACCTGCGGGTCTGACAAGAGGTGGACTGGGTCCGATCCTACTTGCCAAAGTAAGTAACAAAAGGCATATATGGGTTTTTCTCTGATTTTACTGGACAAGAGTGGTCACGTGACGCGACAAAAATCCTCCACAAAGGAAATCTATATAGAAAAACATCTCTAGAAAAATGATTTTTAGAAAAGTCACAAAAAATGTATAGCGCTATTACGGCATTTCTCAATGCAGCTCAATAGGACGTTTGCATGATGGTGTCATTTGACTCCCACTACCAAGATGCTTCGCGAATTTTCTTTCTTATTTAAATTTGTATTCCCTCATGAGAAGAGTAAGACAATTGGTGCTAATTAACTGAACAAAAGAAAGCGTGCAAGAAAAATCTGGTAGTAGAGGTCAATGACGCCATCATGCAAACGTGCTATTTAGAGGGCAAGACAATGCATGAATATGGATACAACTCAAACATAGAATCTTATTCTCAAGGGAATGACACATGGTCTGAAATGGGAAAAAAAAAACATTGCGAACCAACGAATATGGTCTATTGAAATATCTTRCAACTGTGTTTCAGTTTATTAAGTACTTTTTACTTTTTGAAGTCATCGACTGTGGTAATCCTGGTACACCGTGGCACGGCTATCTAGACGGGTCTGTCTTCACGTATGATGCAGTTGTTTCGTACCGTTGTCGTCCCAAGCATTTCCTTGAGGGTGACAGACAGAGAAAATGTGGTGCTGATGGCAAATGGACTGGATCTACTCCAAGATGCTTGGGTATGTTCCTTGGTCTATTCCTAGATGCACTATGAGAAGTGCATTCTGGTCTAGCATGGGTACAGATATATTTAATCGCATGAATTTTGCGATGTTCGTACCCAAACTTGAACAGAATGCACCTTATCTAACCTTTACTGAGATGGAAAGCATAGTGCATTCTGGTCTGGCTTGGGTATAGATATATCTAATCACATGCATTTTGTGATGTTCGTACCCAAACTTGAACAGAATGCACCTTATCTAACCTTGACTGAGATGGAAAGCATAGTGCATTCTGGTCTACCTTGGGTACAGATATATTTAATAGCATGAATTTTGCGATGTTCGTACCCAAACTAGAACAGAATGCACCTTATCTAACCTTAACTGAGATGGAAAGCATAGTGCATTCTGGTCTACCTTGGGTACAGATATGTTTAAGCATAATGCGTCATATGGTGTTGTTAGTAGCCAAGACCGTCTCATGCTCAGATCAAACGTCGAACTTCACGTGAGCCAAACCAGCAATGGATAACAAGGCGGTCTTCTTTGATGTTATTAGGTTCTGCTCATGTGAAGTTCGACGTTTGACCTGAGCCTTACGAAGTACGAATAGAACTCTAAGCAACGAATAATTCGAAACTGGAATATTGGGAAAAAGATCTCTTTTTTCTAATACATGGCAGAAAACTCATGCGGGAACCCAGGAACCCCGATCAACGGAATCAAGACTGGAAGTAACCCTAGCCACGGCGCTACAGTCAAGTTTACCTGTAACAAAGGATATGATATACACGGGTCTGCATCAAGAACTTGTCAGATGAGTGGTCAATGGGACGGAACACAACCTACTTGCACAAGTAAGGGAGACCTTTTTGAATTTTGAGAGGGGGTAGGTGACTAACTCATCCCGTCTCTAATATCGCATGGAATGGTGGAAGATTTCTAGAAACAAGATGATTGAAGCTTTCTTGATCCAGAATTTCAGTATTCAATACCAATTTTCTTTAGACTTTGAAAACTAAAAACCATAATGCCTGATAGACAGTTTCATCTTGATTTGCGTATTGTTTTTCTAGTCCAAAACATATTTCAKTACCTYRAGTATTATTTCTTTCTTTGWCAGTAATTTTTGAGTAAATACATTAATTAATATGAATGAGACAAATAGGAAAAAAGGAATCTTGGTCGCGAGAAACTGTAATTAGAAGTGATCTGAACTACTGAAAAAAAATACGGACAAGCTAGAGACCGAGAGGTCTTTACACTTGTTTAAAAATGTCTCATAACTTGTGTTGTCTCACTAATTTTCAAATAGCGTAAAAAAAAAGTATTGAGTGGTTTCTAATCAACAAAAATAGATGATAATCTTACAAGAATTGAGAATAGAATATAAAATCTTTTCCATTTTAGTCAAGAACTGCGGCGATCCAGGTACACCAGCAAACGGCCTTAAGATTGGTACCGAGTTCACGTATGGCAAAGATGTGTGGTTTGATTGTAACCCAGGCTTCAAGCTRCAAGGCTCGAGTCAGAGAGTCTGCGAGGCGACTGGTGCCTGGTCTGGAACCCAGGCTACCTGCGTTGGTAAGACTTCTCTGAATTCACAAGAATGAACAAGCTGTGCTTAGCTTTATTCTTTTCATCTCATCATAATGTAAAAATTCGTGCCGTTCTCGTACCCAGAGCTCCTCTAATTTGAAAATTCGATGAGCTCTGAGTACGGGAATGTGTTTGCGCAAATGCAGGGTGCAAGATAAGAAATGCTTGTGCTCATGCCCACTTTGAGAGGTGCCAGTGGTGAGCATGCGCGGATTTTTTTGGGGGGGATCTGAAAGGTTATTGAAATATTTAAAAACACTTTTTATTTCAGCATCAAATTGTGGAAGCATTGTTCACGGTCCTTCAGGAACGATTCAGTCTACCAACTTCCCTAACAACTACCCTAACAACGAATACTGCACGTGGGAAATCCGTGTTCCTCAGGGAAAAAAAGTACAAATTGACTTCCAAGAATTCCGCACAGAAGAAGGCAAGGATAAATTGTTCATATATGACACGGGAATGGCGACGCCGATGATAGTGTTCAGCGGTATCAAGGACAAACCACGTGCACTGACGTCATCTGGGAATTCGTTACGGGTCAGGTTTGTTTCTGATGGAGCGAATGTGAACAACGGATTCAAGTTGTCGTACAAGCAGACAGGTAAGATAACGAAAATAATTATTAGTAATATTTATAAATTAATATGAATTAATTATTATTCTTTGATTTCTTTATTGCAAATACACGAAGGGAAAATATTTACGGTTTAAACGTGTTTCTGAGGCAACATCCAAAATATCTATTTAAAAATATAAATTCATTATGAATACCATTATGAATCACACGACTACCCAGAGCAAGTTGTTCTAATAAATTCTAAACCATTTTCTATTGCTCGTTAATCAATACACTTATAATGAATATCGTCATTCTTTGTTGTCGTTTTTTTTTTTGGTTTTAACAACTCATGGCTCGAACAAAATCGCACGAACTGCTTGTTTCTCCGAATTTTTTTCCTACTTTTGACGAGTGTTTTTAAACCCAAGTAATCCACTTTTTTAGATTGCGGAGGTATGTTCACGTCTCAGTCAGGTGAAATACGCTCACCCGGTTTTCCTAACGGCTACCCGGCATCCCACAGTTGCACATGGCTTCTGCGCATGCTCAAYACCAAAATCGCTCTAAGAATTCCAGAATTCAGCACCGAAAATGCCTACGATCGACTCGAGGTCGCTCACGGACCTTGGGTGACCGCGCCTCTGGAAATATCGTGGTCCGGTCCCAGTCCTCTCGCTGGTGACGTCATCACGCAGAATTTCATGTGGATTCACTTTTACAGTAATTCGAAGGATGACCGTTTCTATAAAGGCTTCAGAGCGACGTTCAAGCCTTACAATCCGTACGAAAAACGCAAGTGAAAATAAATGGTTCAAAATAGTTTAGTTACTTGTTAATTGGTTTAAGGAATAAATGAGTAAATTTGTATGTTAATGTTTTGTGTTGTTTATTTTTTTAGTGTGTATGTTTGTTAGTTTGGGCTCCCTGTGGTTTTCCATCCGATTTTTGGTCTTCATTGAATTGAGTTCATTTAAAAAATTTTCTTACCTTCCCTGTCTCGGAATTCTCGGTACTCTTGTACGTTCTTCGTATATTAAAAAATCTAAAATTTCTTTATCATTATTGATTCAAAATCTAATTACYATTTCATTCAAATCACTCATATTGTTACCCGCGATCCAGTTCCACAATTTATACCCAGAATCCATTGCGGGAATAATTCGTTACYATTCCTTCGCGCCAGTCAGGACACAGCGATACATCAAGCCTCAAATGAACGTAGCTAGGTCGTTTTATTAGACAATTATAAATATAGACTTTCTATCGTACAATCTAAATCTTTTTAAAAGAATTTTTGATACTTAGCAGTCCGTGGTAAAAGCAACACTAATAAATAGCTTTTGCGAGTGTGTACTTACGATATCACACAGTCCTAACATACATACATAAATCCATTCTAACATACATATATATATATATATATACATACATACTTAAAATCTATTGGAAATACGTTCGTATAAATATTTAGAAAATTACTCTCAAGATTTAGAGACTGTCGCTTGATTTTTTTTAATGTTTTTTGTGATGGCGCGATCTAATTTACGCTAAAATTATAGATGTCTACATATTTTAACTAGTTTTACTCTTAAAGTCTTACAAAGTGCTATTGCGCATCCAGCAGATCGATATCTCATCGGTTTTTTTCGCACATCCAGTAAATCGATATTTTATCGGGTCTGTTTGCACATCCAGTAAATCGATATCTCATCGGTTCTGTTCTTACACCCTGCAAATCGATATCTCATCAGATCTGTTTGCGCATCCAGCAGATCGATATATCATCGGATCTGTTTGCGCATCCAGCAGATCGATATATCATCGGATCTGTTTGCGCATCCAGCAGATCGATACATCATCGACTCCATTTACGCATCCTGCAAATCGATAATTTATCGGCTCCGTTGAATATTTACATATTCCATAAAAATAACTTAAATGTCGAAGCTTCACCAAAGTACTGTAAAACGATTATRCTTTGGCACCAGGTTCTTGCAATCTTATTCACCGTGTTCGATCTTTGGAGGGAAGGCCTACAAGTTGTATGTCTCTTGTCTTCTAATTTTTCTCTAGCTTGATATGTATTCTTTTTGAAGTCAAAGGTCCTGCTTGACTGATTGTTTAAAGTCTTAGAGCAACTGTATAAAAATATAAAGTATTTCATCACTTGCTGAGCAAGTCAATCTACGCATGATCGATTTGCGGAAGAAACAGATGAATTCGAAGGCGTCTTGCTACGCATGCTCTTTTCGTGGAAGCGTGCCATAGTTTAAGACAAATTCGTCGGCGTCTATTTACGCATGCTCAGGTCTTGAAAACTTGACCAATGGAAGGGTCTTGCTTCCCATGCTCCATTTATTGACGCAATTGACGAATAATATGACGTCTGGCTCTGCGCATGCGCCATAACCTATGAAGGCGAGCTGAAGGACATTGTTATGTTCTCTTTTTGCGGGACTGGTTGCGATACTTCTATGGTTATTTCAACAGTTCCGTTCTCACTTGCCTTACAGCAAGGACACACTGCTTTGATCTCCTTTCGAATGTCCTTCTTAAGAATCGCGTACAAAAGTGGATTCAAGGCGGAATTCATGAGTATGAGAAGCCATATTATGTGCTTCGTGTCTTGGGCAACCCGCATATCTAGAAACGAGTCACAAACATAAGAATAAATCCCGAGAGCCCAAAAGCAATCGTAGAGGATAATGACTACTCCGATCGCTGGTAACGAAGACTTGTCCGTCTTTGGCGACAGGATTCCGCTGATTATCCGCGCAGCCGTACTCTCCGAAACTTCCTCATCTATAGCTTCGATGGCCATTCGCTTTCTTCCGATTCTTGCCGAAGATATTTCGACTGATGAGTTGGAGTTCGGCGGTCGACTTTCGTCGTCGGTGGTCGAGTGAAGATTGCTGTCGGTGGAGTAGTTGTAGTCGACCTGTGCACGGATTTTCTTCTCGTCTCTGTTATGTCGACGTACTATCAAGAGAATCCGAAAATACGAGACGCTCAACGTCACGCAAGGAAGAACCACAAAAAAGATGGTCTGGACGACGATGAACATTTTTTCGCGCTCTTTCTCCGTTTTGATTCCCGTGAACATCATAGTGATACGAAGAAGCGCTACGAACAGAGGAATACACCACGAGCAGAGAATCAAAACAACTGCTCTGTACTGCGTCATATAGTTTGTGTAACGCAACGGACTGACAATGGCTTTGTAACGATCTARCGACAGCGTACACAGGCTCAGAATAGTCGCGTCCATTAGAAAGTCATATATMACGAAGCGTATCTCAGGCAACGTTGGCAGCTGAACTGCATCCGAGAGTTGAACAGCCGTTATTATGACACCAACAAGAAGATCTGCTAAGCTAAGAGAAAGGACAAACCAGTTGGACTTCACGTTACGAAGTCGGCGACGGGTTGTTATGACAACAGCCACTAACGTGTTATTGAAGATTGTAATGAAACCAACTGTGGCTCGGATGACCCAGTACCATGCCTGTGTGGGCTCTTTTTGTGCGTGGAGTCCAAGCGAAGATGGCGTCGGAGGTAAATACTGATYGAAAGTCGAGTTTTGCATATTGCGTTACTGTTGCGTGACAGGATCTATCTGCTCCTGCGTGACAAATAAAAATAATTCTGTTAAATTTTGACCAAACATTGGGATTATTACACGGTCTACTCTGTCCCATTTTGAAAAGAGAGTCTGGAGTTTGGACCACATCATGGGCTCCCTGAAATTCTCAATACTGAGTGTCTGTAGCGATTATCTCTGCAAAATTCCGTTGAATATCATATAACATACCTTAAAACAGACAATACATTCATTACTATAATCTTACTTTTGGAGATATTCAAGAACACTTTTCTAGAGATGGTAGGTACCTGCTAAACCCACCCAACCGGTATGAATAGGGCCATTTTAGATGCCATTTCTTTTGACCCCATCTCTTACTTTCCCGCTATCACCATCTCGTTATCTGAATAAGCTGAGACTAAGATTTTAAAATTTGTTTCTCGATAAATGAGGAAAAACCCGTGTCGAATATTGCGTCGGATATCAAATCATTTTGATTGGATAGTGTGTTAAGAGCATGCGCAGCTCGTATTTCAATATTCTAGACACGGCTAGATATGTGCTTAGYCAGCACTTAGCATGTTTGGTACGTTTAATGAAAATTGCTAGTCATCAACGGGTTTACGACCCTCGTAAACGGTCCTACCGTGAAACGGATTAAAAATGATAATTAGTTTTGCGAATAGCGCAGCGCAGTCGTGACGTCATAAAAACGAAGACAAAGGCGAAATTCGGACAAACAAACTTACAAGTTTACTTTCAGCAGATAATTTTCACAGCCGATCACAGTTGATTTTATAGTTTACATGGGTTATTATTGTAACTTTAAGTAAAAATAATAAAATCGGTTCGTATAATCCTCGTAGCGGTTAAACAGAATGCAATGTTTGTCCGAATCTTTAAGCTATCTTTAGAATCAGTGCGCTGCGCTATTTGGGGACGATCAAAAAACCGACGGCGCTATAARCTATAAAGATTAACATCATACACAATAAAAACAAGCAAACAGACAAACGAACAAAAAAACGAAATGCTTTTGAAAAGGCTAATAGTCTAGCACTTCTAATAAAACAAAATAAACAAACGGACAAACAAACAAATAAACAAGCAAACAGACAAACAAACAAATAAACAAGCAARCAGACAATCGACGATAAGAGAAGCAAGCCAACAAACAGACAAAGAACCAAATGATCATGGATCAAAACTTCTGAAAAATTCATTTAAAATTCAAAGTCAGATAGGAAACATTATAAGTAAAAAGACAAATGTCAGTTAATAAACAAACGAACGAACGAACGAAGTACTTAATAGAATGGTAAACAAACAAATTACTAAACAAATAATATAAACGAACAGACAAACGAAAGATCAGACACATGCAAATAAACAAGCAAACAAATAAACAAAATATAAACAAACTACCTAATGACATGAAAAACAAATAACTAACAAATAAGCAAACATACCAAAATGAAAGATATGACAAGCAAATGAACGAACAAATCGTCCCTAAAGCCCCGTTTACACTAGCGATTTTTGCGCAGATTTTTGCTGCGTTTTTTTTTTTTCGATTTTCTCCATAATAAATAATGGTAAAAAATTTACTTGTAAAGTTTTTTTCAGGATACCAAGATTTTCCTAGACGAATGTCTCATATTTCCAAAAATTGCCACAAAAAACGCACTCAGGTGTATTAAGGCCTGACTTTAGCATGGAAACGAGGCTAAAAATCAAAAAAAAATTTTCTAACCCCTAAATAATTTTTTCTTCACCGAACTGACATATATTATTAATCATATCAAAATGAAGTCTTTTTCTTCATTTTCGTTGCTATGGCAACCCNTCAATGTCACAAAAAGTTCGTCATTTTGAAAAATTGTTTTTCCTTCAATCTGATTGGATAAATATTAACCCTATTAGCTAACAAGCCATTAAAAGGAGTTTGATGTCTTTAAACCTTTCCTTTATGACTTAATTATTTTAAAAATCGTTGGTGTCTTTYATTTCGRAGYTTCGTTGCACTCGATCCGCACATGYACAAATCCGACTGTCCCCAGGCGAGCCAGCTCTGTTAAACTGATCATATCCCTTCAATTAGACTAAAGTACTACTTAAAAGCGCACTCTTTTGTGCACGTAATTTATACGAGTTCGTAATTTCAAACTGTTCCGGCTGTTCCAAGAAACATTTTAATCTAAAAATGTAGCGCATTGATCAAGGTTAAATCGAATACTTAAAAATCCCTTTTTTCCCCCCCTTATAAAAGCTTTACTTTTTTCTTTTAATTTAATAGCGATTTTATATATTTACTTTGTATTTCACTAAAATGGCTTTCAGACAGCGCGTTATGGAGGCGACTGAGTTATACAGGTAAAACCGGTTAAGCAAGGTTTTACCAAGAAAAAGTCGAGCTGTTCTTTTGAATACAGTCCATTAGGACAATAAAAAACTATTAAAAAATATATCATCACTAAAATACTCAATGGCAAAATATTTTTCCAGTGAAGTGTTTAAGTCCAATTTTTTAACAATTGAAGCAGGATTTTCTTTTGCATRAAAACATTGACAAAAGCAACTTAAGAATGATTGGAGTGAATCAATGCATGTGTGGGTGTAGAAGGTGATAGTGGTGCCCGGAACAAGGACGGTAATCTTGAACGTGTCTAACTCTTATCACGTCTCTTCTTCTCTCTGTTACGAGCTCTCTGTCTTTTTATGTTTTGTAATTAAAAAAGCGAAAAAAATGATTGAGGCCTTAAGATACTTTCGTCGCTACAAACAACATTGAATATTTCAAAACTAAGCTACGTTTTCTTGCAARAAAAGCTATTCCTGGATAATGACGATCTATCTCTTATTCCCAGTTTGGCTCCAACAATTTTTTTAAGATAGATATACTCTCGTTGGATCAGTATAATGAATTCAAATTTCCTTACAGTACTGCAACGTCACGCTCACTGCTTTGAAAGTTGTAGAACTAATATTCCTTTTGCGCCAAATTCTATTTTGAAAAGAAAAAATATTATTCTAAAACGAAAAAAAGTTGTGCGCGCTGGTTGATAATAGGGACCTTAAGCTGCAGGACGGCAACGACGACGACGACGGCAAACATACAATAGCACTAATTGCGCTATTCAATAGATACTCGTTGGAATGTACGAAATACTATGCATCATTGCCGTCTTATGCTGATAGTAAGACGTGAAATGTCCTATTTTTACTTTCTAAAGAGAACGGCTACGCCAAAAGCTTATATTTGCTGATTTTCGTTAAAAGTAAAGCGCTCCCAAAAGACGTCATTTCACTTTAAAACGGGGATGCTTATTGAGTAAAACACTAGGTAAACACGAATTGTAGAAGGTTGAAGCGCTTCAATTTCGCCGACGTTGTCGCCCACGTTGCCGAGCTGCAGCTTAAGGCCCCTAATACAAGCGAGACTCGCTTTGCAAACTTGGAATGCGATATTCGCTGCTAAAAGCGTTATGGCCTGCCTCGATTACCATACGTTACCGGCGTTCTCGAAAAAAATCGAATTCTTTTCTACTTACTTGAAACTTGATAACAAATAGAAAGACTATTCGAGTGGTTTCTAGGATCGTCCCATCCGATGGGCTTTCAGACGCTTAATACGATTGACAAAAACGAGCTTCTTAACCAGTACACGAGTATAATGTTAGTTTTTAATGATATGAGTGTCCAATGCTGACTGGGGGTCAAACTTATTGCCGGGTTGACCGGTAATTAGTCTTGGATTGATGTGAATATCAAATTTTCAATTATCATGAGTATGGATTTTCGAATTAATAAACCCTTTTACGACTTTTGATTTTTATCAAAACCTGAAACAGCCTCTGGGTTAATAAAGGTCAGGGCACGGCTAACTTACAGGTCAAAACCTGAAACAACCTCTGGGCTGATCTAAGTCAGGGCATGGCTAACTCACAGATTAGACCCCGAAATAGCCCCTGGGCTGATCTAAGTCAAGGCATGGCTAACTCACAGATTGAACCCTGAAACAACCTCTGGGCTGATCGAAGTTAGGGCACGGCTAACTCACAGATAGAACCCTGAAACAACCTCTGCGCTGATCTAGGTCAGGCTAACTCTCGGATCAAAAGTAAAAGCCCCAAGACAGGAAATATTTGAATCGATTTGATTCACGATTTATGAAACCAAGGGAAAGGGGTCGTAGGATTCAAATGAGTCCCCTTTCCCTCGGGAGAGTCTTTGAGGAGAGGATCGAAGGATGGGTCGTTAAGGTGTGCCCCCATCTCCACCCCCATGGGAATCCCATGTACGTCCCATACTGGAAACATAACTTTAGGGTGTGACGATTTCCCCATCTCCCACCCAGTAGTGGAAATCATGGTTACATGYGTTACTCAATTCTTCCGATCCGAGTTTAAATAACCATGAAATACACGTGGTATTGGCCGTTTACCTGAAACTAGCGATACTTTCAGCACAGCACGGCTTCCAACCAGGGAAGGGAATTAGAGCAATATTTTTTGATTTTTGAAAGACAATCATGAAATTACACGGTACTCTCAGCTCAGCACGCGTACGGCTTCCAACAATTTCTACTATTTTCATCGTAAATTGCGATTTTCACTTCTATCTTTGAATTTCTAGCTTTCTATTTCCGTGATCCCACAGTTTTCTTTACGTGCCGTGTATGACGTCATCACGATCCAAAACGCCCTAAATTGTATTCTGTGACGTCATGGCGCCGGGTTATTTTCTAAAACGTTTGTGATACTTCATGCCTCATTTCTGTGTAATTTTAACTAAAAGCCCTAACTTTGTTTCAAATGACTTGCCCGTGTTCTCATTTGTTGACGGTCTTGCGGTTTTCCGGTGAATTATGACTCTTTTTAAGTCGCTCTTTTTRAGATAACCGTGTTCAGTAGAAAATGTGGCATCACGACACTTGAATGGCTTTCAACTTAACCAGCCAAATCGGCGAAAAAACACGCACCGTCAGAAGTACTTCTGACGCCATCCAATCAAGATTTTTCAAATTTGGAATGCATTTGGTACCGTTCGTTATTAAGTATCACACACTCACAACCCTTTTTTATTCTTTAGTATTATTTGTATTATTAGTCCAAGTATAGCTTATGTTAGCAGGATTTCAAATTACRAGGTTTACGTTAGTGCGGGGCGTAAAAGTTGGGCATCATGGCCTGAGTCGTTCTATCAAGAGCCTTTTTTTAAGAGTAATTATTCGCTTTAGTTAAGCCAAAASCGTAATACTTTTCCACCTTAATTATTCTGTCTTCATTCAGTCGTTTCCTTCGCCGTTATTTTTGTTCCTATATGTATCCGTTCTCTCACATATCATATATCCACTTCAAATATCTTTTATTATTCTGTACACATTGAATCTATCGAAATCTTTCGATGAAAAGATCAATTGGTTTTACCCACGTCARTATAGGTCAGATTGCACCATATGATATTTTTCAATAATCACTGGATCATTTTTACGAGAATAACCGACTAATTACAATAGAAATTAGCTTTGAAAGCAAGGTCTTTCTTGAAGGACTACTGAATATTAAATATGGATCCAAAACCAATAAATTGAGGGCGAATGAAATTCTGTAAAAGATATAGCCAGCACATCCTGAAGCTTCTAAAAAGCTGCGACTCAATTCGCCGATAAAAAAATGAGTTACAAAATTGAAATCTGACATCCGGCYTAGTAAAAGTAAAAGGATAATGGCCAAGTAAATTGTACACAAAATGACGAATGCCGATATAAGTTTTTTTAAGGAATCTTTTTTCTTTAATTTTGTAGTTTTACTTTGTTTTCAGATTCCTATTTATTGAGTAGATACTATCGTCATTATCAATGTCATCTCGTTAGTATTGGTTTACTTGTTGTTGTTGGTTTTTAATGTGTGTGTGTGTTTTTTGTTTTGTTTTGTTTTTTGTTTTGTTTGTTTGTTTGTTTTTTTTTGTTTTTTTTGTTTTTTTTGTTTTTTGTTTTTGTTTTTTTGCTTTGTTTTTTGTTTTGTTTTGTTTTGTTTTTTTTTCTTTAATGAAAACTTAGGTTCCTACAACAGTTTACCCCCTGTATTTTCTTGTTAAAATAAAAGCCAAAAAAAATCGTCATCCAAACACTCAAAGCACCCGCAAGATAATAAAGGGAAAAAACAAAAAGTAAAACTAATGAAAACAAGTATAAAACATTAAGCTACAAGAAAGAATTAGGAAAAAAGCAGGTTTTGTGAAAAAACACACAACAACTCAGCGGTAAAAGTAAGAAGAAAAGAAAGTCGAATAAGAATAAGAAAAACAAAYGTCGAGTAGACAACTAAAAGACTTTCTAAAACGTAAAGCCAACATGCARCAACTCACCTTCAGTCTTATCACATTGTTGCAAGTCTCCACTTCACTGTTCCTGTAAGCGAGATGAGCTTTTCAATTATTTGTTTGAGTAACAGGGTGACTTAATTACATGAAAACGTTCAACAACTTTTCAATAAGTAGACCCCACTGCTCCGGTTTATATAGCTTTTAAAGAGGTAGAGGGGCGAACGGCTATCTTATTCCGAAACCCTTCGTTAAATGCCCATGAAAAATCAGTAATTACAAAAAGGCGTTTTCGTGCTATTTTTTATACATAAATTAGCTTTAATTAAGTGAAATTTAGTTTTGTCGCGTACAGAATAACTAAATGTTATCAAGTCAATGATATGACAGCATAGAATTATCAAAGGGGACGTGCTTCGGATCAAATTGAAAATTACAAGTTGGCCGTGTTATCTTTCGACAAACATCTTGTGGTTATCATATCYAGCTTGTTTTCTTTGTCTTTATTGAAAATTCAATATTTCATTGACACTGAGATGAGAATGAGATGAAACTAACTTTGCTCTTCTTACTGTAAAAAAAAGCGTTTTTTTTTGTGAAATTTATGGAATTATTCAGGAGCAATTTCTAGGAAGTGTCAATCAAAATTGTACAAGCGGGTCATCTTTTTACCAGGTGCGGGTGGCTTAAATRATATTACAAAGAAACACGAATTACTTTTTATCTAAAGTACATATGATGTACTTTATAATGTATAATGTAAAATAAAGGTTGATGTTTAATCTTAAAGGAAAATGTTTTTGCTTCCGTTTTTTAAAACGTTAAAAATACGAAGAATCTTACATGCACAATGCTATTTTATCTGCACTGATGGTTGTATGTATTCCTTAGTAATGTTTGTTCTTATTTAACCAGCTATTAAGTTTTTCTTAAGTATTAAGATGTACCAAAAGAATCATAAATATCCGAGGTATGATTCGATGTATTACAAAATTTCAAGGAAACGGTTTCATTTAGCGACGTTTAGGGGTCGTCATGATGATTTGAATATTCTCTAAATATTAAATGCTTATTACTAACCCTTTTCCGTCCAAGTGTCATAGCTATACGCTTAATAGTTAATAAGAAAAGTAGTTCTAAAATTACGTGCCTTAAAGATTTGTTATGTACGTTAGAACATTATATGAATATCACACTATTACCTATTTCATTCCTATTTTAGTAAAATAATTGCAGTTTCTTATATTGATATGCAAGTTTCTYGGCAAAACATGCAAACTGCTATCATATGTTTTTAAATTTATTTTCAACTCAAACTAATGTCCGTATATTTTTGGCTCAACCTTTAGCAAGCGAAAAAAGTTAATAAATGGATTTTTGCCGATTTTTTTTTTGTATTGCTAATAAATAATACTTATTTTAAAGTTCTTTTTTTTAATAAAAATGCTATCGAAATTTTCTATTCTAATAGAATAAAAAACTGTCTTCCCATCGAACAAACAAACTGAATGAACAAATATGGCCGCCATATTTTAACCTAAATTTTTAATTTTCAAAAACACGATCTGCGAGTTTATTAAACGGCTTAAAAAACTCATGAATAATTTTCGTGACATGCTCTTTTTCGTGACATGCTCTTGTACTCTTTTGGTCCTTTACAAAGATTTCAGAATCTTTATATAAAGATATCCATGTTGAGCTATTATCAGGTGTAAAGATCCATGCACGTGATGGATTTGAAGGACCTAAAGGTCTTAATGCTCATTAAATATTCATGATTTTTTGAAGAGTACATATACTATGTTTTTTTAGAGGCAACCGTGAATACGTCCTTACGCTTACACATCTAGTAACGACACAAATACCTCCTTTGTGGAGTATAATCAGTCAATCTAAACTTACTAATGGTCTATCACAAATCCTGCACTCTTATTGGCTGGCATACAAGTGGTCTATTAGTCATATAGTCCACTAGTAGCGAAAAGTTCCGGTATTGAAAGCCACAACAATGGGAATTAAGTCGCGTTTTCAACCTAGTTTCAAAATTGTTTGTATCCATTTATTCAACCGATTAGTAGATTTAGATTTAAAAAATAGGTCTCTCGCCATCATGGTCTACAAGTCAATCCCTAATAGATCACTTGTAGCTTAGCCAATCAGACAGCGGAATTTGTGATAGACACCTGCTTTACTACATTAGTATACCTTTTCGTGTGTACACCCCATATTTGGGGCATAATTACCTCCCTTGTGGGGCATTTTCAAATAATGCATAAACATACAATGAACCACACCTAATACAATAGATTTTGTGAGTATATATTACATCAACTGAGTGCTATATAGGTTCTCCCACTACGAATAACTTAGGTTATTAACGGCAAATAAAATTAGATGAGTGTGAACAGGCAGCCCTGTACGCCGTGAGACAACCTAAGAGTCATACAATAGGCACCCAAGGACAGGTTGAATAGGTATTTTCGATAATGACGCAGGGATGAACTGTTTGGTTCTCTCTACCTAATAAGGTCAATTAAAAGAAAACTTATATATTAATCGCTTCGTCATCGTTAATTATGTACAAGCTGCGTAATGGTTAATTGGAAAGATCATCATCATTATACTAGTTTCTTGATTAGTATAATCAGATAGACAAGATAGAGAACACTATATTGACTTGTCGAGAAATTTATCATCCATCCATCCAT